TGGAGGGCCTTCAAGTCACCTCCTAGCTCCTTGGATCTTCCTTGTGATTTTCTTCCTTTTTGATGCTCCTTTGCTTCTTGAGGATGTGAGGAAAGGATCTCCAAAAACACCAAAGATTTGGTGTCTCTAAGTCTCCACACCAAGGATGAGGTGTGAAGATGAAATGGATGACTTAGAGCATAAAAGATTGCTAGCTATATCTTCTCTAAATGGCCGGCCTCCTTTAGAGAAAAAGAGAGAAAATGTTTCTTATCTTTGCCTCTAGAAAACCCTAATGAGGTAAAAGCTATAAAGATGCTTTTATATCTCTTTTCTTAGGTGAGTGACAAACTTGCAATTAAGCAAAACTTACCACTCCCTCACTATGGCCGGCCTCTTTTAAGTGATTGGGCTATTTGCCCATGTTTGTTTTAGTTGTCATACAACTTAAACATAATGGGCCTAGTGGACCAAACCCTTTTGGACCCCGAAGCCCAAAACTAACTTAAAAGCCCAATACGAACCTTTCGTATAATTAATTAACTAATTAATTAACCTTGACCATATTTCAATTAAACCATTTAATTTCTTATCCATTTCATTTATATTTCTTCACTTTCATCCTTACTCGGTGTACGATCCATTAGGTTCCAATTAGCGAGGCAGTGGGCGATTGTTACTCTTAACGATCGATTGTGAATTGAAACTACATTTCAATTCTCCCTTTGATCAAGATTAGTGTTTGCTAATCTTCAGGGCTTCCACAAACCATGAGTGACACTTAGCAGCATGTCATGGCTACCCAAGCTAAATAGAATTGGTTGGAGAACCTATCCAGTTACAATTACAATGCAATACGGTCTAATACAATACTCTTAATCACATTGTTTGAGTGATAGTTTGTATCATGTCTACTATCCAATGTGATACTTCTTTATATGATTCAATTGAATATGATTTGGAACATACTTCCTAAGTCATATTCGTATGCTTTGGGCAAAGACTCCTGAATCATATCTTAGAGTATTCTCCTTCCACCATGGAAGGTTAGAGATTCCTTGTTGTGCATTCATATGCTTACATGACTAGATAGCTTGACCCCAACAATGTCATGGACACTCTCGATGGAATGCCTTTGACATGATCAAAGATCAAGGACCTAACCATTAGACATCTATGATGCCTCAGGTTAAAGGACTACTTTGCATATTGCAACTTATGAGTTCTTACATGACATGTATGTTCGAACTCTCTTTTAATCGTTGTTCAGTGTACTTGATTACTCTTTCAAGCACCTATGTGTTTGTCTTAGTGTCCAACACTAAATGACTTGAGACTAGTCATACTCATGCTTGAGTTGACATAACACATACTAACCTTAGCGGATTGTCAATGCCCAATTGGCAATCCTATGGCTAGGAACGTTTTAGGAATGAACATAAGAGAAAGGTCTCGTTAATCTAACTTATTTAAATCACTTATCTCTTAGATCAAATACATTCCTTGGATTTCCTTATTGCTTAAACACATGATACAATAAATAGTGATTAACAATAAGCTTTGCCCTTCATTAAACATATAATAATTTAATACAATAAGTATTCCAAAAGCTATTACATCAAATGAGTGGCTTTGTGGGCATACTTCCAACAGTTATTGATAGGCCAATCATCTCCCATCTTGTAGTACCTGACTAGCACTAGGAGGATGTATTTGTACTTTCATCACTGACCGCACCCAGTTGTCATTCTTGGTATTGACATTCATAGCTGTAAGTGCTTTCGGTGCACTTGGCACCATCATTACTTCCTCCTTCTTTTCTTTTTTTCTTTTTTTCTTTTACTTTTGCTTTTACTTTGCAGAGTGCAGATGGCACTCAAATTCTCTGTTTCCCATGGCTTCCCACCATTCTCCAGTCGGGACTGCATATTTTGCCACGACGCTAACCACATCGGCACTGGCTCTCCTCACCGACGGATTGTGCTCCATTATGATGCTCTCAATGAGGGGCTGCTTAACGAGGTGTTTATGGAAAGGCACACCTTATTCGGAAACCGTTCTGTGCAGGTCCTCCTACGGATGGGTTGTCTTGTATTGTCGCTTTGCACTTGAACTGGACCGACTCCACTAAGTACTGTGCGATTCTTACTTTGCTCCACTTCAAAAACTCGTGCTTTGCAGGCAACAAAGACATCAACTAGTGGCTGTAAGTCCAACAGTATCACCACAGATTTGACATATCTGCCCGTTCAGATTCTTTACGGGTTTGGACGAGCTATCAGAATCGTGGCGAATCCGAGCTTGTTCCTCTTGTAAGACCCGGCCACCAGTCCCGCATCGGGTTCCATGGCAGCTGCCGCGCTCAATGCTTAAGCTTTGTTGAGATTTATCGAGGGGGAGGTGGAATTGAGGACGGAGTGCACGGCGGCGCAAGCTGGGGAGACGGCCAGAAAGACACCGTACCAGGAGAGGATGAATCGGGAGAGTTGGGAGACGAAGACATTGTTTGGCACCCGCGACGACATCGCAGTGGTTGTTGTTTGGTTTTACATTTGAAAGTGAGTGAGTGTCGGAGAGAGGAGGGAGGATAAGGCCACTTCATCTTTTTCACCGCTTCAAGGGACCGCATCGTCAGCATTCAAGACTTTCACCGCCGTACAGTCCTCTGGATTGTAGATTTGTAAGTTTGTAGAGCTGGGAATTGCCAATCTGGACGCTTGTTCATGCGTTGGATAATGTGATGGGATGAACTGGGTTTGCAGATCTACGTCTTCCAAGTTGAGAGAGGTGGGCAACGTCAATATTGGAGGTCGTATGAGAGGATGTTGGAGAGAAGCAGAAAGAGAGGGAGAGAGAGCAGATTGAGACGACGGAGATGAGACTCGTTCTTTTTTGTTTTGGTTTCCGTGAGAGAGGAGAGAGAGGTGGTTGAAGTTGGTGCGAAGGTTTTCTGGAAAAGCTTTGGGTTGCTGGATTTTTGCAGATTTTACAAATTCACGGTGGAGGTGAAAAAAGTGAAAGAGAACCGACATTATTTTTCGTGTTGATTCCCACAGACGGCGCCAAATTTTGATGCACAAAATCGGAGGGGTCTTGGAACAACGTAAATCTGACCGTGAATCTGCAAGAAAGTAAATAACACAAGATGTATCGTGATTCACCCCAAGGTTTGGGCTACGTCCACACTGATATTGTATTTCTGAGGGAGAGAGAGCTCTGAATATGAGAGAGAGCTTTGAGAGGATGAGAGAGCTTAAGGCCTAAGAGTTGGCCTCTCTTAATGAAGAGGGTGAGGAGTCCTTTTATAGAATAAGGGCTCTTTACTTATTACATATTTGCCCTTTCCTTTATTACATAATTACATTTGAGTCTCTCGAGTATTTATACGAAGTCTAAATACGGAGGCCCTAAGTATGGTATAAACAGTGCTTAACAATGATTTTATAACTGTGATAAAACTGGTCCACTCACATTTTGTTTTATCGACCCCTTTAGGACGTAACGAGAGTAAGGAGAACATCGGTGGGGATGAGTGGGCATGGCAGTGAAGCTTTCATCCTTTGGACTTTGGGTGATGGTACCTTTACTACAGTTCTATCTTGGTTGTAATAATAATGGTATGATCGTACTTTTGATTATGCATAGCACTGCACTTTGTTGTATTTACTGTTGTGTGAAACTTCTAGCTGCTCTAATGTGATGTGATAATAACGGGGTCAAACCCGAGATAATTTTTGTCCCCAAGTGGGGAGAATGATAAGTAATTCTTGTAGCAACTTTGGATTTTATTAATGAACATTTTTTGTTTAAATTCTTACACATCATAAATATCTTGCTTTGGCTTCATGAATAAGTTGGCTTTTGACGTCATCTCTGAATGGGTTCATATGGTCAATTTAGTGTCGACTAGCACATCACGGCCTCTTAACTCGTGTTATTGGGGTCGGGGTGTGTCATCTCCTCAACTATAAAAGGAGACCATTCTTCTACAATTAATCCCTAATGTCATTATTGTACTTAAATTTGTCATTAGAACCCACTAATGATGATTATACTTGAACCTATGTATTGTATAAACTCTTTATTATTAACGACAACTCCTCTACACCATGGACGTAGCCCAACTTAGGGTGAACCATGTACGTATTATATTTGCTTCCCTATCTCTATATCTTTACATATTATCCTCACTAGGTGACCGGAGCAACCATTTGAAGGTCACAAACTTGACATTTTATGTAGTTCCACATTCCATCTGATTTTGTGCATCAATAGAGCTCAAACCCAAAAACCTCGACCTCACTCATCTCCATTCTCTTGACATCCTTGTGTTAGAAATCAGAGCTCATAGTTCTGAACTCAACCCAAAAATCCAGAGCTCACTCTTCTCAACTCTCTCTCAACTTCCCCTTCTTTGAAATTAGAGCTCAACCTAGAAACCCAGAGCTCATAGCTCTCTCCCAACATCCCTCTCTTCTAAATGCCAAGAAAAATGACACCATCAACTATAAGTTTGTACAATTTAAATGTAAGTAGTTTCATTAGTGTGCATGGAGTGGGAATGGCCGATTTATCCTATTTTGATCATAAGAATAAGAAAATGACCCATTTTTGTCAATTTCCCTCCTTCAATTAGTTTCACAACATATATAACCTTATAACTTGTAAGTTTTGGGTTGGAGATAGCCTTGTAGAACCACTCTTTTTATGAACTCTCCAATGTTTGGCTAGTGCTACAAAACAAGGTTTAAGCTTCATTCTTCCATGATATCATTTGATAATACAAATTTTTGATGTACTAAAAATGTTTATTTTGGTTAGAGAAACACCGTAGGAACTACGCTAATCTACACTGAGGGGATGAAGGAGAGTTTAAACCCGGGACATAGTGGATGCCCCATCCACCGCTTTGCCGTCAAGCCATATTGTTTACGCTTCCAATATCGGGTTAAAGCTGCTCATTTCTAGCTCTATGCCCCAGAGATTTCAATCCGGGGAAATTTGTAACTAGTACATAGTGGTTAATCAGAAGAAACTTGTAATATATATTATTCAAATCACGTGTAAATTCATAACCTCTCTTATATCATGTTATTCGGCCGACCACTCAGCAAAGTTTTATTCAAACACCAAGAGTTTATGTATGTGTGTGAGGTCGACCCAAAATAAAAGGAGGGGAGGAAACAACAAAAAGAGACGTTAGAACCATTTGTGATCCTAGAATGCGTTTGATGAAAGATCGTTTATGAGGCTTCATTAGTTATGCACCTGCAGGTCTTCAGATTTCTACACCAGGAGCTGCCTTGTACTTGAGGTGGAAGTTTCGCATCAAGAACAGCCGCTTGGAGTGAAAAGAACTTACATTATCTCAACCACTGCCCGACCAACAATGCTTCCCTTATTGAGTTCCTGGAATGCTTCGTTACTCTCCTCAAACTTGTACCTTCTAGAAACAGCATTAGCTAGATCAAATATGCCTGATTCTGCCAATCTGACCAACTTTGGCAGATCCTGCCTTGCCCTCCCTCCGTAAGATCCAATGATTTGTATCTGTTCCACAAGATTATTGCCAAAGAAGTAAAGATGTTTGCTGAAATGAAACACAGAATCCTGGACAACTTGATATTTAGTCTGCTCGTCTCAACAGATGACAAAAAAATTACAAAGTGAAAACATACGGTCGTACCCAGTGCACAAGGCTCCCGCTTTACGCAGGGTCTGGGAGAGGTGAATGTCGGCTAGCCTTAACCCCATTTATGGAGAGGCTGCTCCCAAGTTTCGAACCCGAGACCTACCGCTCATGGGCGAAGGCACTTGCCATCGCACCAAGTGCGACCTCTTACAAAGTCAAAACATACAACTAAACAAAAATGAGATGAATCTATGAAATGGTACCTCGAGACTTGAGCTAATGTTGTGGTCATTTAGATGCAAGAGGAAGTAATTGCTCAAAACAAAAGGAAAATTTAATCATAATACCATTTGGATTATACCATTTAGCAGCCACATGATCTAGCTCTCAAATCCCCCCATGACCAACTAGCTGAAGGAAGTTGACTTTCAACCCGAAACCAATTGGTAAGGGCTGGAGTAGCCCATCTCTTCACAAGCTTATGCAACGTTCTTTAATTCCCAACGAGGGACTCAGACTCTCAATACTAGCCATCTCCTATACACTTGTAATCATTGGCAGAGCCAGGGTTTAGCAGGAGCGGAAGTCCCAAGTTTGACAATTGATCTTACCTACCAGTCTTATAGCACTTCAAAAGATCATATTTATGCCTGTTTGTTCAGCATCAATAGGCCATAAGTACGCTACAAAACCTCATGTCCTTCTATGACTTCACTCTGTAGCACTGATTCAGAACAGAATCAGCGTACTTAAGTGCAAGACTATAAATGGATGGTATCTGAAAGATCAATCACGCTGATAACTACATAACTTCTTATACGAGAATACTAGCTTCCCCTAGACTTCTCGATTCTGTTATAATTCCAAGAATCTTATCACAACTCTACCTAATTACATTCATCTAATAAACATTGATGTGGTTCCATAAACATCATACCATATTCCAGAAATTGAAAATCAATTGTCACTTTGATACAGCATTTATCATACACACCTTTCTACGGACAAGACGGTTTATATCTACTTCCCCAACTGCACCAGCTTGTGAAAGCCCAACCATTACAGCTTTTCCTCCATCTTTCACACTTTGCACACATTGCAAAAATGTCTGCGGCCTTCCCAGGGCTTCCACAGCGATGTCCACACCCTTTCCACCAGTTATTTCCTGTCCAGAACAAGTGAACAGCAAGTCAACAGTACAGGGATAGAACACAGAAAAGGTTTTGCTTCATCTCAATATCAATTTCAAAGGTACAGATTCAACTTAACTCTAATATTAGTTTATGATCTTTTGCTAGCCCACCCACAGGTTATTCATCATGGTACTTGAGTATTATTTGTGTCATCACTTTTACACCACACAATATGGGCAATGCTAGTGGGGATAACACAAACAATCACACAAGATTTCCAAGAATCTTGCTTTATGTAATATGCTGTGTGTACGTGCTTATAATAATTCTCAAATGAGGTCATTCAATATAGTCTTCAAATGAGGAAATGTTTCTCTGTGGGGTTGTGTAGCTTGATACAAGCCATGTGCAGACAGGCATAACCTCACATCGGAGAAGTACCACGATAATCTACCAAGTTAAAAAATGTGATCCACCACTAACAGCACTAACTGGGCATTCAGACCTCCATATTTCATCTAATGACTGATTAACAGGTCCTTGTGTAAGTTCCTCAATAGGAAATAACTCATGACTTATGGTTGGCTCCATGGGGTAGTTTAATGTATTTTGTTGGACGTTCAATTGAGACAACACAAAGACAACCAAACTATTTTGGAAAAACAAGACTGAAACAAATTATCGACACCAGGATTAGGAAAAAATGACATTACGCAATTACTATATCAACTACTGCATCATATGTAATCAAAATAACAGAAAAGTGCTTTAATATGTACCATTATTTTGGCAACAGCATCTTCTTTAGCTGCATTTACAGCATGCGTAGCTCCAAATATCTTGGCTTTCTGCAGTTTTTCATCTTGAACATCCACAGCGATAATATCAGAGGCACCAAATGCTCTTGCTATCTGCAAACAGCTGTCGCAAGTGATATAATTGTAAAATGTTTATAATAATTTCATGAACAGAAGTAAAAGGAACATTCAAGTTAAACAAAAAAACCACCAAAGCTAAAGTAGAATGCCTACCGTGTATGGATGATATTATATCAAGTCCAAAATTGGAAGGGAAAAATAGAAAAGACAAAAGATAACGCCTTAGCATCAACCGTATAACCGAAAAGAGAATTCTGAGCAAATATAAGATCTTACAGTACCTTGACCCTACACCCCCAATTCCGATCACAGCAACTGAATCCCCAGGCTTCACCTGAGCCGCATTAGCCATAGTACCATAAGCAGTAAACACTGCACAACCTAAAACTGCAGACTCGATGTATGGCAATGACTCGGGCAAAATAGTCAATGCATTTGCCGGCACAATACAGTATTCAGCAAGGCCTCCCATACTATACATGTATACTGGTTTTCCTGCACAGTATAGAATACCTTTTGGTTATCAAACAATAAACATCTGTAATCTCCATGAGCTTAGCTGCATATCAAAACAGGAAAAAAAAAAGAAGCAGAATTTCAAGGAGGAGGAATCTTGAAACACATCACAGACATGTCAGGGACATTTGCAGACAGGTCCGGCAATCAACATGAAACAAGATTTTGACTAAAAGAACATTACTAATTGTTCATTCAACTTTCCACTAATTGCACAAATGAACAGTCATGTTTTAACTTTTACACAAAAAGAAAAGGTGTCTTGCTTACCAAAAAAATTTATGGAAATAGCCAAATAAATACAATGGATCTTGTATGCTACCAAATACAAAGGTGAGAACAAAAAACTACCATCACAAGTAAAGATTCTCTAAGTGGTAGGATTTAAGGAACTTTACTGCTATGTGTTGAAAGAGTTCAGTTTGTCTTGACATTCAGAGATTGACATATTCAACAATAAAGTTTCCCCATGAAATGACCATGGTAATGTCTTATAGCAATCAGAAGTAAAGACCTGGTCATTTCAAATCCTTTTAGCCCCACATTACAATTACAGATACTAGAAACAACAATTTATACTTTAGCTTGAGAGTTCACGAAATTGACAAAAACAAAACCAAAAAAACATATAGATATAGAGGCAGAGAGATAAAAAGAGACAGACAGACATACAAAGAGGAAAGAAAAGCATGCTTACCACTGCTGCGGAGGAACAGCCGAGTTTCACCATCATAAAGAGTTCCTTTTGCACGGTTATAGGCAAAGAAATCCTCGCATAGATCATCATGGCCCTTTATTCCAGTTCAGTGATTAAAAAACACAATCAACTACAGAATACACAGTTTCCTCCCAAAAGAAAATGGTAATTACCACATTTGTAAAGCAGTTAATAAACCATCATGTCAATAACAAAATTTAAATGAGCAAAGTAGCATCTCCGAGAAGTATTACCTTTGAACAGTAGGAACAGTTGCCGCAAGGCATGATGAAAGCTCCAACAACTCGAGATCCAATTGGTAATCTGAAAATTTGAGAAAATGAAACTAATGATCCATTTTGGTTTCCCTCTGTTTCAAATTTCAACAAAAGATCTGGCATGTACACATTCAGGAAAATGAGATTCACAAACATTTTAAAACTATCATGGCGGTGGTAGTTATGTTAATGGTCATCTTAGTGGCAATGCTGATGCTTCTGGCGGTGATGCAGATAACCGTGGAGAAAGGATGGTGATGGAAACGAGGTTGTGGTGATGGTCAAGGGAAGATGGTGGTAGTGAATATGGAGGTTATGGTGGTTGTAGCCCCGTTTTCTAAAAAAAACTGACATATCTTAGATTTTGGGAACAATACCTATTCAGGTGGAATTTAAAGTTGGGATTTATGAACTCCAGATTCGAAGTTTCTTTCAATGGATAATCTAATGAGAGCATTATTTACAGAAGATGATGAAGATTGTTGAAATCTAAACAAAGTGCACCTTGCTTTAGTTTTGGTGTCTGTGGCCGGTCCATGTTCGACAACCTCACCAGTTATCTCATGTCCCACAACACATGGGCTAGCAAATGGAAGCTCGCCCTTCATAACATGGAGATCAGAGTGGCAAACTCCGCATGCTATAACAAAGAAACACGAACAATATCAGCCACCATAGTAGCAACGGAATAAAGAGGTGAACAAGCCAAAAGAAGCAACAAGGCAGAGGAAAAAGAAACTATCATTTGTAAGTAAGCAACAAAGGTAAAATGGTAAGTTACTCGAGAAGATTAAAGAATCAAAATGGCAACACCGAACGAATATAAAATACAATGGTGACGACGACGACGACGATGATACATGAGCAATCATTTTCAACCTGGGCACGCATGAAACAATGATAACAAATTAAGATGGACAAATTAGGCTGAAATCAAATGATTCCATTTCTAACTTCATTTCTTCGGTCTATCGGCAGCTATGCAATTAATTAACATAATTTCAGGGTGTTTGATTTAATCAAGGAGTTGGAAATGAATAAACACGAGGAACATATATACAATAATTACGGAATCCAGAGAGAGAGAGAGAGAGAGATTAAATTAGTACCCACCCTTGGTTTTGATGAGAAGTTCACCGGATTTGGGGCGAGGGATGTGAAATTCCTCGAAGGTGAGAGGTTTGTTGGGTTCCCTGAAGACAGCTGCCCTCATGGAGGAAGGCAGTCCGCCACCGCCGCCAAGCGAGTGAAGGCATCTGGTGGTGGTGGTATCTCTGAATTCGGGTTCAAATGCGGCAGAGTTGTTGCGTAGGCGTTGACCCGCCAACGGCGCCAACAACGGAATAGCAGAATGGGAAGAGGGCCTTGAATTTGATGGCGAGAGGAGTGTTTTGGCGATGGCACTGCGACTGAGACTGCGACTGAGATTGCGGATCATCACCATCTTTCCTTTCAATCTTTCTTTGAATACTCGGGTCAGGAGCTGGATGAGTCCAACAGTTCAAGAGTAGACTTAGGCTGAGTGAGTAGCTGACATGACATGACATTCACGAGTGCCAAAGTCGTTACAGATTATTTAAACTAATAGGACCCTACCGCTTCATTCGTTGATTAACTAACAGCTATATGTTTATCCTTATCGGATTACCACGCCCTCTCTCCTCTCCTTGCCCCCATTAATGGGACTCTTATTTTATTATTATTTTTATTTTTTCTATACAACTATATATATATTTATGGGAAAATTAGGTTCATATCTTTATTTTTGTTACTCCATTAATTAAAATCCTATTGATTTTCAATTTTTGATCAAGGTTTTTGGGTATTAATAACATCATTAATTATTTGAATAATAAAATATTTTCATTTTTAAATATATTCCTTTAATGTTAAAAATGTTACAATTAGTATATTTATATTTATGGCTAAATTTTTTATCATATATTTTTATTTTTAGTTTGTACCTATTTTTAATTTGTAAATATTTTTTAATTTGTACCAATTTTCTTTTCATTTTTAATTTGTACCCATATATTAGTTTTTTTTTGTGCCCATATTTTTTAAAGTTTTTTTTGTGTTTGTACTTATGTGTATACTGTCACGTGACATTGTATATTTAATCAATGATAGAAAAATTGAAGGAATATTTTGTGAAAACATGTTCATTTAAGCAACATCAATAAGCATGCAATTAACAATTAAAGGCGGAATCATGCTTGCATGCACTTAAAAACAAAACATTAACCAAGAAATTCAAAGCCTAGTAGATTGGTGAACCATTAATCAACTCAAAACAAAGTGAATTGAGATTTATACCTTTGTAGATTCCTCTTTGCATAAGCAAAGGCTAATCACCCAAAGAGAGGGCCTTCATTCCTTGCATCTTAAATCTATGGATTTGGATGGATGAAAAGGTTTCTCCAAGTTCCCAAAATTGAGAACCTCTAAGTATCTTCACCAAGGTTAGATTGGAGAAGAAATGAGTGACCTTGGAGTAGTGGGATTGCTAGATACACCCTCCAAGGGGCCGGCCTCTTTAGAGAGAAATGGAGAGACATGTTCTCTCCAATTTTCTCCAAAACAAAACCCTTAATGAATTTTGGCTATAAAGTCATATTTATACCTTTATTCATTTGAGTGGCAAACTTGTAAATAAGTCTAAGTTCACTACCCTTAACCATATGGCCGGCCTTAGGGTGTTGTTGGGCTTTTGGGCTTTTGTGAATTAAGTTGTCATACAACTTAAGTCAATGGGCTTGACGTTCGAAGCCCATTGGGCCTAAACGTCCAAAACTATCCCGAGGTCTTTAACGAACTTATTCTTTGATTAATTAACATATTAATTAATCCTTACCATAAATAATTAAACCATTTAATTATTCTTACTCATCTCCATTGTTTCTTCAATCTCCACCTTACACGGTGTACGATCCATTAGGTTCCTTTTAGCGAGGCAGTGGGCGATTCAAACTCTTTCAAATCGATTGTGAATTGAAACTTACTTTCAATTCTCCCTTTAGTGATTATACACGTTTAGGGCTTCCACAAACCAAGAGTGACACCTAGCAGCATATCATGGTTACCCAAGCTAATCAGAAGAGGTGGAGAACCTATTCAGTTTAGGATTACAAATGCAATACGGTCTTTCTCTAATACAATACTCTTGACCACATTGTTTGGTTTGATAGTTTATTTATTCATGTCTACTATCCAATGTGATTCGTGTGCTTATATGATTACCTTGAATGTGATTTAGAACGTCATTTCTAAATCTCATTCATACTCTGGCCAGAGATTCTAAATCATATCATAGAGTATTCTCCCTCAAACAGTTTGAAGGTTAGAGATCCCTTGTTGTGCATTCACTTGCCTCCATGGCTAAATGGCTTAACCCAACGATGCCGTGGACACTCCAATGGAATGACGTTTGACATAATCAAATATCAAGGACTTAACCACAAGACAACGATGATGCCTCAGGTCAAAGGACTACTTTGCATTATCCCAACCATGAGTTCTCATGTGACATGAATATGAGAACTCTTCGTTGATCGTGTTCAATGAACTCATTCTCTATTGAGCACCTACGTACTTGTCTTGATGTCACACACACCAATGACTTGAGACTAGTCACTCTCCCTGAGAGAAGACACAGCACGTACTGATCTTAACGGATTGTCAATGCCCAATTGGCAATCCTATGATCAGGAACATTTAGGATGTGTCTACGAAAGAATGGTCTTATGAATCTAACTTCATTAGATCGCATTTTCCCAATCACATATTCCTTGGACTTTATCGTTTAAGCATATAACATTTATATGAGACGGCTCAAACAATAATCTTTGCCCTTTATATTAAACTAGATTAGTTTAACATGTGAAATGTCCGTAAAGTATCATCATATGATTGGCTTTAGGGCACATTTCCAACAATCTCCCACTTGCACTAGAGCCAATCAGCTTGTTCATCAGTGATGATACCTCTTCTGTAGTCATTTCATAAATGGCTGAGTAATAGGCCCAGAAAATGGATATCTATATGTTATCCATAGAAGCAACCTTGAGGATAACGACGTCACCATTATACATGATTCTCAATCATGTGGTTCGGTCTCTCATATGAGTTCGGACCTTGATGAGACCTTGATTCCCTGGCTTGAGCTATCGCCCCATTAGTGTCATACACTTTCTGGTTGGAACCGAATAGAGAGTTCATGAATGAACTTTCACATCCAAACAACATTGTTGTAAGCTTCTTTATGGCAATATATTTTGTATTCATAATGGAACACACTAAAGTCATTACTTTAATGTTTCCATCCAAATATCTCTTTAGTCATAATAAAGAGATATCCGTTTATCTCTTCATTCATAATGAAGAAACATCCAATGATGGATTAGATTCATAATCTAATACATTTACGCTTCCTTTACGTTACTCTAATTCTTCCTCATTCTTTGAGGAATCTATCCTTTAGTATTTCTTAAATACTTAAGGACTCACTTGACAGTTGCCATGGTTCTGATCCTGGGTTTGCACTGATATCGTCTTGTACCGTTCTAGGTACAACTCATATCAATGTTTTTCATACAATATGAAATACATAAATCACCTTTCTGCGTATGCATAAAGGATTCTATTTACGCATTATTTCTTTGGGAGTCAAGGGGTACGTTCTCCTTTGAGAAGGGCAACTTGCTTAGTCTCACTAGAGTCGTCCTTCTTGATTGAAGTTTATCATCATATGAGAAACTTCCTAGCATCTCTTGTCTATTATTTAGGGCTTGATATAATCCAATTATATCCTAAAATCTATCATTATAGATTTCCATCCCATGTTTATAGACTATGTCTCCCATATACATTCTATCTTCATATAATGTTTAAAGTCATAACTTTAACGAAGAAATATTCTTTTCATTTCCAAAATTAATATATCATATATACATTCATATATATCACATATATATTTATATATATATACAAATTTAGGAATATGATTAACTCCCACTAATCTTTTGTAAACCTAGTAAACAAAAGATTCATTTACATCTTTATGAGAAATCAAACGATTTGACCTTTCTCTCATAAAGACGCTTAATAGCTCCCACTAGCTTGCTAAGATCCATGATGGATGGATCTCTACAACTTACATGTCTTGTGATTCATAGTTTTTAGACATATATTATCAAGACTATCTTAATAATGGTTTCGAAAACCCATATTATGTCCAAACATTGAATCATCATTTAGTTGTAGCTAGCTAATCTTCGAATTAATTGAAACCAAGAGACTACGTCAAAAATGGTTTCTTCAAAGTCAACCATCCTTTTGATTGTAGTTACCTTAAGCTACCAATTAGCTTATGAAGGTTTCATTATTTCGGGTCAAATGGTACTTTACCATTTCCTTGAGTATATATCATATATGCACTCAATGTAGTCATAAGGATTTTCATTCTTATTTCTTTCGAATTAAGAGGTGCAACTCTATGACATAGTCATAAAGTTCAAAACCATTCAACTGAGACGGTTTATAAATCCTTCTCGACTACCTTGGAGCTTTTGGTATAGGAACTAGGTTGTTATATTTGTTGATTACTTTCTTGTCTCTCAAAGAACCCATTCTTTGAGTTCTATCTCTCGTTTATTTGCTTTTAGGCAAATCACATTGTAGGATTACAATGAACTACTCAACAAAACAACATTTGTTAGTTGGTTTATAGAAGCGATATCCAAAAGTTAATTTAAGGATATCCCACAAGATTGTTATCAAACAAATATTGCTTATTAGCACACAACCTCAAATCTTAACATGCTTAAGATTTGTCTTTCTTTCCAACTACATCTTATGGAGTCATGAAAATATTGGAAGATCTTCTAATTTACAATCATATTGTTTTAGAAGTATATATCCTATATATGGGTAATAGATAACATCTAACGAACTAAATCTTATTCGAGTTCGTTCTTCTCCTAAAGGAGAAAATTCATTATCTTATGATGCTATTTTCCTTGATATCTTTCAAGAAAACTATTCTAAAGTGTTACCATTCCTTGGATCAAATCTAAGGATGTAAATACTTTAGATGTCTTACTCATCAACTTACATTTCTTGAATTCTTTGAAACCTTTTGCAAAGTATTCGAACTTGTGTTTATTCAAAATAAACTATAGTCCAACCGAGAGTGATCTTCGGTGAATGTCATATAACATGAGTAGTATTATGTTGTGGACAAGTGCCACTAACATCTAAGTGAATTAACCTCAACAACTTTGTGATTCTTTCTTCTTTCCAAAAAGAATAAAGATTCGAACATTTCGCCTCTATACAATTTTAACAAGAAGGTATTGGATCCGGATCTAACGATCCAAAACATCCATCTATGACCAACTCGTAATTTATGTTTTAGAGGTATCACAACTTTAGTTGGGATTAGTCACTACCTTGCAACCTTTTGGGTTTTAAGCATCGTTATATTCTAAACAGTTAACACTACCATATCATCTCTACTATAGAGACAATTAATTAGATTACTATAATCCAATCATTGATTAATAAAGAACAAT